AGGGAGGCGGGCGGGGCGGGGTGCAGGCAGGGTGCGGGTTGGCCGCATCAATGTATACACAGCCGCCGCGAAGCCACGACCATGCTGCGCCGTGCTCCGCCAGGCTCTCGTCTTGTAGCATTCATCTTGGCCGGTAAGCCCCCGGCCCCGCCAGCCCCGCCCGGTTCGGCCAGGTTCGACTACACCGGATTGGGGCTGCCCCATGAATTATACCGCTACAGAATAATGGAAGCCAAGCGAACCAGCGACCAGCACTAGGAACAGAAGGAGGGAGGGAGGGGGCCAAGTCACCCTGCCGTTTGGCATTAAGAAAAAAAGAGGAGATCCATTTTGAAACGAGACGCGCGCACCCATGCGGCAAACCGCTGTTCCCTTTTCAACGAAATTTCTCATAAAGAGCGTCGAGAAAAGAGAAATAAAGGACCGGGGAAATATCGGAAATATGGCCCTGCGTTCCAGTCTAGCCCTGCAATAACAGGCGCCCTGCCGCAGCATCGCGCGCTGCAGTGCCGCGCAGCGCACCACGGCGTGCCTGATGAGATTTGCCGCTCGCTCGGCCGCCGTGCGCCCCGAGCGCAGAGCGCAGAGCGCCCCGTACGCGCGAGCCGGCAGCGCGCTGCCATGGCAAAGCGCACGCTAGGCGAGGCACCTTTCTTCCTGGGTTTCGGCCGCACAACAATGGATGGGCAAACGAGAGGCAGAGCGCAGAGCCCGGCCTGGGCTTGCTGGGCTTGCTTGCCTGCGCCGCCGCAGCCGGCAAAGCGTACAAATGAGCTGACAACAATGGGGCGTACAAAGGTGGGCTGCGTGCCGCGTGGCAGTGTCGGTGCGCGCTGCCGCGGGACCGGGCCTCTCGGGTGCATCAAGGGGGTTTTCGGCCCAATGGACGCACCGACCCGGCCGGGCCGCCGGCATGCAACCCACAAATTACCCGACCCGCAGACCAGTTTACGCGGAAGAAACGGAGCGACTTTGGACACAATGTGCTGTCTGTCGGCCTTAGATCGAGGACGCGAGCAAAGGTTCTATTGGAGTCTCCGTGCACGGGACGACCCGCTGGTGCCATCGTGGTCGTACTCCAGTGCCTCTTATTCAAGGAGACAGTCTCCAGTCCCAAGTCGTAGCGGTTTTCAGCTACCCGCCGCCTTCTTTGGACTCGCCGGATCCCTCCGAGTCTGCGGGGCGGGGCGGGGCCGGGCGGGGCTGGGCCTCCTCGGGGAAGCGAGCGCCGCGACCTAATTTGACCCGCAACGCGCCACCGGAGCCTCCATTTCCACCGCGAGTCCCCGAGCAACGCGCTGGAGACCGAAAACGAGGACACAATCACAATCAGCCAGCAGGTCGAATAACGACGAGCGCGACGCCACTGGAAATTCATTTCCAGTTCCAGCGGACAAACACTCCAGTCAGGCGGTCCCGCTGCGCGACCCGAATTACGCCCAAATGTTATTATCACCAGAAGGTCGTCGGGGCTCGGCTCTGGCCGTGGTGAGGGCGAGTGGGCGGGTCCGGGTGGGTGCGCCGCAGAGCCACCATGATGGGGCCGCGGTGGCGGGGACGGGGTACCTCCTCCGCTCATGTCAGCCCCCATCCCCGGATCGGCGTCGCAACGCGGGACCGCACCAAGTTTCGTAATGTGGAGATCGATTATGCTAATTCCATCGAGAGGGAGAGAGAGAGAGAGCGAACGCGTCTTGCCGGCCGGGCCGGGGAGTCGCAGAGGCAGCCACACACAGTGTGCCACACAGTGTGCCACACAGTGTGCCACACACCCTGTCGCGCCGAAGCAGTGAGTGCCTCGGCAGCGCCTCGCCGGAGGACTCACTTTGCATTTTCACCAAATTTATCAGATATTGGTTGTCCTCGCCTCCACCTCCTCAGCGCTGCTGCTCTCCTGTTCGCTTTGGCGCATTATCGGCGCGAGTCTCTGGGCCTCATCCTCATCCGGGCGGGGCGGGGCGGGGTAGTAGGCGGAAACCGAGTCTGGCGGAGATAGCGAGGCGTAGCTGCCCGGCCCGGCCTCGGTTCTCGGTTGGACCTCTGCCAACTCTGGGGCGTACCGTCTCTTCTTGCTGTACAATTCCCCCCCCCCCCACACACACACACGCACACGCCAACACGGACGGGACGGCGCACCACTCTCAACCCCGCTCCATTCCAGCCGCTCCAGCACCACCCTGCCACGATCTGCGGGGACCGGCACCAAGCGACGACCCGGACGAGCCGCAAACTGAGAGGTAGGTAGAAAAACAACAACAAAATAAACAAAAGAGAGATCCGACTGCATTTCGGCCGATGGCAGCGCCAAGACGTAACTTTGTTAACCGGAGCGAAGCATCTTTGATTGGCCGGAAATGCGGTCCGGCCGGCTCGTTCTTTTGTTCCGGCGTGGCCGGGCAAGTTGGCCGAGCTGGCCGAGTAATAATGACGTTAGCTCCCTCAGCCTGCCCGCCTGCCCTGCCTGCCCAGCACGGCCTTGGCCAGGGCTCGGCCGCCTCGGCCAGGGGCTGCTTGTTTCGCCGATGAAAGGAGGGCGCCGCCTCGCCCCTCGCTCGCTCATTATACCGCGGTCGGTGGATCCCGCGGGGCGGGGCGGGGCGGGGCCGCAGCGGGGAACCAGGATAACCAACCAGGATCACCGCGGATCAAAGGAATAAAGCCAGCCGGCGGCCACTTCCAATGGACCGAGAGCACCGCGGCGCGCGGCAGCCTGTCGACGACGTCCTCCTCCCCGTCGTCCGGGCCGCCATAATGGATCGAGTCTGGCTTGTCTGGCGCGTGCAGGCGGCAGACACTTTTCCCGGCACTTTTGCGCGGCTGCTGCTGCTGCTGGCGGAGGCGAAGACTTGGGGGCGTTCGCCGCGCCGCCGTGCCGTGCCGCAGTGCGCAGCTCCGCCTTCTTGATGACGCGGGAAAAGTCTTACCTCTGACACACAAAAGCCGCCCTGACAAAGGGGCGACAAAGTTTGCGCGCCGCGAGTAGTTTGCTTTGCGTGCCGCCGCCGCCAGGCCACCATCGCTTTGTCGCTGCGCGGCCTCACCTGCAGACTCGCGCCCTTGCGGGACGCCCCGCGAGAGCGACGGAGACAGAGAGCTGAATCAGTACTGGAGGGAAAGAACGATCCGTTGTCGACGCGGACGCTGCTGCTCGCCCTCAATGGCGGGATTAAGACGACTAATTTACACGCAGCCTTCCTTAATTCATTCCGAAGGTATTTATCACGCCACTGCTGGGGCTGGGGGCTTGGCTGGAGCCTTGGCTCGGCAACAGGGGGCATTAGCGACAGGCTGGGGGCGCCGCTAGGCGCGCGGCTGCGGCGGGCAGACGAGTCTGGCAGCCAGCCGGCCCGGCGAGCTGGCAGCCACCGGCAGCCACTGGAGTGAGTGCGCACGGTGCGATTTGCCGGCCGGGTGCCGCCAAGCTCGCTGAGCCCAGCTCGCGGATGTGGAGGATGTGGGGCAAAAAGCACCAGCAGGCTGCCAGGCACTGCCAGGCACTGCCAGGCCGCTGCCTCCGCTCCGGCGCGGGCCTGGGACTGAGCACGGCAGGCCAACGCAAACACAGCGAGTGTGGTTCAGCATACGCCGCAGCCCGAGCAGTGCGCCGTCGCTCTCTCTCGCACCTTTGAGGGACGCGCCACGAGTGTGCGACGAGAGCAGTGTGCAGCCGGAGCGATAAAAACAGCCCGACGTGCCGACTGCCAGAGCGAGAATGAGAAAGAAGGGAGGGAGGGCGCGTGGCGGGAGGGCTCAGGTTCACGGTTCACTGTAGTTCTCGCTTCCTGGGGTCGCTCACGAGAGGCACAAGTAGTGCACACTGGAGGCGGCGACGAGCAGCTTGCCGACACGGGGTGCCGTCGTGGCGGCGTCGTCGTCAGCGGCACGGGAGGGGCGGGGCGGGGAGGGGAGGGGCTGCCACTGGCGTTCCGGAAGGACAGGGGGTGGGGGCGAGTGGGGCAGGGGAGGGGCGCCACTGGGCGTGGCGGGGCTGGGCTCAGGGCCCGGCGAGCCGACCCCTCTCAGCGTGCGACCGGCGGCACCAGGCGCGCAGCACGCAGCACGCCGCCCTGGCCTGGTCGACCTCCTCGAGATGCCCCCGCTCGCCCCGCTCGCCGCGCGTCCTTTCCAGCGGCGCTGCAGCAGAACGCCCGCAGGCCATCTCTCTCGCACTCATGCAGCGAGTTCCGTCCGGGTGCGAGACAGACAGACATTAGGAGGAGTAAGCCAGTATCCTGCGCGCGTCTGGATCGACCACGAGGCTCGGCACAAGAAGGCTCGGAGTGGCTGAGACTGTTTCGCCCCCGCCGGCGGTCCTGCACTCCGGGCTTCTGGTTTCAGCTCTCAGCACGCAGCGCGCCGTGAGGGCGGGGCACACGACACCGCCAGCAGGCTGCCCCACCCCGCCCCACCCAGAATGCAGTGCGAGATTTACGGCGAGGCGGGGCGGGGCTATGCGAGTCATGCACTCCTGTGCCGGACATTGGCCTCACCTTCACTCCGATTAATTACTTTCTCTTTCTTGCTGGGCAGGGCCTTGGCAGGGCTCGGCAGCACCGACCCCATGCCGGCCAGTAAATCCTTCCTCTTCCGTTATTCCTCGCCTCATTTCCGACGGCCGGACACGAACAAGAACATGAACAACACGGGCCCCTGACTCGAACAAGACCAACAAGGACACGGCCCGGTGGAGCCGCTCGGAACAAACTTTCCCGGTCTACATAAATAACGTGGAAGCCTATACCACTTGGCCGCGACACGTGGTGCGGTGCGCGGTGCGGTGCGCACGGACGTGGTGGCGGCAAAGTCCTCGCTTAGCGCATAGGCCGGCCCGGCCCGCCATGGCGCCTGCGTGAGCGCGCATAGGCCGCCCGCCGCGCGGCCGGGCCCGACGGGTGGCCTACCCTCCGTGCCACAGGGGCTACAGCCAAGACGAGCACAGTGCGCTTGGCGCCCACATCTCCCCATCGCCCTTCACCGACTACACCGTCTGCCTCTCTTACCGAATCTGCAGTCCTTCTCGTTGGGGATGTTGCCGTTGGGCTCCAGGCGGTCCAGGAACTCGTCGCTGTAGCCATTGAAGGGCAGCTTGGCCCCGCGGTTGGCATGGTCCGGGTCCTCCTTGGAGATGGCTGTGGACAGAGAGAGAGGGCAGCCCGTTTAGCGAAACAGTGCCATTCATTACCTGGACGGGCGCGCGGTCGCGGTGGTCGGCGGCAACACCACCAATACGCGATACACACAAAAACCGCAATGAAACGGCGTTGGCGTACGCGGGCGTACGTGTCCTCATTTGGCGATCCGTCAACGTCCGAGTGTCGCTGTCATGGCAGTGCCCGCCGGCTGATTTAGAGGCCCAGGCTAGCCCAGGCCGCGGCCGCGGGGCCCCAGGGGGCGCGGTCCTCGCTGACCCCGCGTGGAGAGGGCCGACGACGGGGAGGGGAGGCCATAAATCATTTATTACCGCGTAAAGGACACCAGAGGTTGGCAGCAAGCTCGCCGCGCCGCGCCGCCGTCGTCCGACCTCCGCCCCTTCCGAACTCAACTCCGGGGGTACCTGGGCCTGGCGGCCAACCCACAAGCGACGGTCGGGTCGAACGGGCCCACCGCGCGGCCCGGCCAGGCGAGGGTTCTGCTATTCTTGCCCAACTTTCGCTAAGAGGCAACGCGAACCCGAGAGGCGAGGACGGCGGCGCGGCGCTGCCGGGACACAAAGGCGGCGTGTGGTCCTTTTGACAGAGGGCGCGCGGCGCAGCACCCCGTGGGGCACAGTGGGGCAGTGTAAGGCACACCAAAGGGAAACACGAAGCAAAGCCATGCAGAGCCTGCCCCTCCTCGCGCTACCCTCACTCACTCTCCCCCCCCCTCTCTCTCTCCCTCTCGCAGTGAGGGAGGCAGTGACGGATGCTGTGACGGGGTGGTCGACGCGCACATGCAACCACGTACATGCGAGGAGCGAGGAGCGAGGTTCGCTGTCGAGCGCGGCGACCGTAGGTAGACTTCCAGCAGGTTGTTATTTCGCAGGCCGACCGCAAACACGACGTACTCGACGTGCGCGGCGAACTCGCACGCAACGCCCCACGTGAACAACCCCCTGCATCACGGGACCAGGCTTTCACCCTGCCAAAAAAAGAAGAAAAGAGTGGGAAAAAGTTGAGGTAATATATGGGCGCTACAAGTTGGTAGCACAGGTTTGCAGGGCATGCTCCGCTGCTCCGCTGCTCCGCTATGAGATGTGGCGCTGGGCCTCGCTGGGACGGCGGGGCAAGGGGGCGCCGCAAGGGGGCGCATTCTGTCTCTCTCGCACGCCTACGGCCCGCTCCACGAGTGGGAGAGAGATAGAGCGACGGAGCGCCGCGTCTCGGCATCAGCCCGCAGGCTGCACCATTCCCGTTGCCATTTATCCTCGGCAGAGCGGAGGCCGCGAAGCCGAAAAGGGGGGCGGCGGCGGGGATCGAACCAGGGACAAGCGTCATCATCGCGTCGGGCGCGGCCCGGCGGTTTCCATAGAGGGTTGTGGGGGTTGCGCCATTATCCCTCGTGCCGCAAGGCCTGCGGGACGACGCCTGTAATAAGCCGCGCAGCACACACGGACGGCGGGGCGGGGCGGGGCGGCCCCCCGAGGGGTCGTGCGGGGCTGCCCGGGAAATCGGCAGAACGTGGTAGTTTATGCCCGGCAGTGGGCGATAAATTGGGCGCCGCCGTAACGCCCCTCAAGGACCGCCCCGGCCCGCCCCGCCACCACTAGGCCGAGATGAGGTTCGCTTGCGCTTTCCCGGTGAGGCTTCGCGAAAAAGACTCCCGGGCGAGTGCGCCACACTGCGCTGCTGCGCGGTCCCAGCAGCGATCGCAGCACTGCGCCTCTGGTGGTAATGGTGGCGATCAGGGCCCTGCGGGGGTCGCGGTGAGTGAGCCAGCCTGCCACCCGCAAGGCCCTCTCCTCTCCGTTCCAGGGTTCGGTCGGGGCTCCGAAGGGTTGAGCGTTCGACTGGGTCGCGGCGCCTCGCCACACGGTCCTATCCCCCGTCATCCCTACTTGCCCTCCTTTCATCAATGGCCTCGCTCTCGCTTCGCCGCGCGGCCACCCGGCCACCAGCACACGGAGGACGGCGTCGAGGGGGATGAAGCCGCGGCGCCGCGGTCCGCCAACTGGGGCACCGCGAACCCCTGTTACCCACGGCCAGAACACGGACAGTCCCACGGAAACGCTGCTGCACTGCGAAGGACAAGCATGTACTGCATTGAGTGCGTGCTTACAGAGCAGCGAATACACACTTCAGTGTACTAGTGTGCGGAAGATACGCCGCGCCGACCACGCAGTCCAGACCAAGCTCGTTAGTCTAGTCGGCCGATTTGGTTGTTTTTCCGGGCGAAAAATGTGGAATGCCGGAATGCGGGGTCGTCGTTTTTCGCCGCCTTTGCCGCCAAAATGACAGGCGCGCTGCAAATGAAAATGACAGGGTCGCGTCGCGGCGGCCGAGAAGAAAGGCACAACACTGTGCGAGGCGAGCCGACAGCTGCCAGACGGCCGAGCCGAGGAAAGTCAGTCTCTTCGCCGCCGCTTCTCGCTCTTGTTCTGCCTTTTCGCTGACTTTCTCATCCCGCGATATTCGAAAGCCTGTTTGTTGGCCTCGATAAAAGTTCTCCGTGGCGGCGCGGCGGTCGGTGCAGCGCGGGCAGGGCCGCGGGCGCCTCGCCTCTGCCTCTGGAACGCCATGCAAATACCCGACGCTCTCGAATTAATGGAGAGAGAAAGATTGCTTTCCAGTCAGTCAAGGAGAGAGAACGATGATGGCGAAAAAAAACCCAACCGCTTCCAGCAGAGGGTAAATAAACGGCAGATTGTTTTGCTGCAAGGGATATAGTACGGGAAAAGGCCTCTAGGGGCGCCGCGTGCCGCGTGCTGACACAAGGAGCGAGCCCTAGGGCAAGGCCGGGCCGGGCCGGGGAGGGCGAGGGTGTTGGCGCCGACACAAGTCAGCTCCTTGACGGGCAGGGCGGCGGCGGCGGGGGCGCACCCCTTAATGTTTCACCAACTAATCAAGAAGCTCACCTCCGTTCCTCGCAGTGCCCCCACCCCGAACCTTGCACCGCCCGGAGTGCCAGTGTGCCACCGACTGGCTGCATGGATCCGCCAACAAATAGGCCCAGCGGGCGGCTCGGCAGACAACGCCACGCCAGGCCACGCCGCGCTGGTGCTAGACTCAAAGGAAAAGACTTCTCGCTAGAAGCCCTGGCCGACGCCGTAGCCCAGGGCCTCGCCTTTGTCCTACCCTATCGGGCGCCTCCTCGAGAGCCGACGCGAGGCTAGGCGGTGCGGGGCGGGGCGGTGCGAGGCTAGACCGCCTCGCCCTCCAGGCCGCCTCGCCTCGCGATAGGGCTATCAAAGTAACTACCCACTCAGCAGCCTTCTTTCCTCCACCACTAGCACCCCACAGCCGTCCCGTCCGCCCCGGCCGTGGCAGCGGTTCCTCGGGGGCCGGCCATAGCCCAGGACAGCACCAAAAGCCACAGCACCCAGCACCGATGGCGGTGGTGATGGCGACAGATACCTGCCGGCCGACGGCGGCCGCGAGGTTGCCGCGTCGTCCGCCAGGGCGCGCTGTCATGTCGCCGGCCTCGCCCGCGGCCTCCACCATTAGGGCTGGGACAAGGGACACGGTGCAAGGGGCGGCGGGGCGGTGTCGTCGCGCCGCCGAGCCGCGACCTTGCGCGGAAGGTCACCCGGCCAGGGAGTGGCGCAGGGCCTGGCCCTCGGCCTGGCCCTCGGCCTGGCCTGGCAGAGGACCTGGCACAGGGCCGCCAGCACGGCCCTGGCATTCTCGCGGCGCTCCAAAAACACAAACAAAGCAAACGGGGAAAGTGTTGTTGTTGTTTTGAACCGACAAGAAAAAGTAAGAGTGTAGGCGAGATACGCCACCTTGTCTGAGTCGCCGCTGCGTTTGGCAGTTCGCTGAAGCCGTCGCCAAGGCCGTTGCCACCCTGGCACCCCACTGCGGGGAAGCGGCCCCGACGACACACCGAAGGGCCGAAGGGCGACCAAGGGGCGCAGGGACACTAGGAAAATTCAAATGAGCGCGATTCCGCGGCGCCACTACCGCTGCGCCCGCTGCGGGTCGGGCGGTGGAGTTCGGCCGCTCTCGCTTAATCCTCCGACAAAAGACCGAAAGACTAATTAGGAACTTTGAATAATGCAGCGCGCAGCGCCGCGCGGACTCCACCTGGCCGGTGTTTAATGTTGCTGCAGCACTCAAAGGCCCCCCGTAAAGAAACAGCACTGCCGCCGGGGCCGCCGGGCGCGTTTCGCAATCCCACAAAAGACGCGCGGCGCGCACTGAAACCGCCGTGTCGGCATCAACCGCCCGGTTGCCCGCCCCGATCCGGATGAATAATGCACTGCCGCCTGGCTGCACCGCGAGCATCGCGAGCATCGCGCACTCGAGGGGCAGGAGCGTGTTCGCGGCGGCGGGCATACGGCGCCGTGCCGCCACGACGCGCGCCTCCAGGGAGCCGAGCAGCGCCAGGCCGATGCGGAACATAGCGGCTCCAGAGAGGCTCACACGCGGCGCCCGGCTCGGAATGGTCTCTTAAAAAGCTCCGGCCGCCACGCCGAGTGGCTTGGCGCCTCGCTCGGCGCGGTTCCTCACCGCCCCGCCTCCCACAGTGGGAGTCCCACTCCGGGACCAGCACCGAGTGCGGCACCGCGGCGCCGACGTCCGCTCGTCGGGGCGCCGTTACGAGCCTCGGCACCATGGCGGCAGCGCGGCGCCGTAAACGCCGACAACGTTGATACAATTATGCCTCGCCGTTGATAAACTTGTTCATTACGCCATGGAGGAGGAAGAGGAGGAGACCGCGGCGGCGCTGGCTGCCCGCCGGGCACACGACGAACGCCGTCGTCCCCCCCCCCCCCAATTCCCCCCTCGCGTCGCGGGGCGACCGACCGCGGGAAGTTTTAACGAAGACGGAAAGCCGGGCATTTTCGACGCGGAGTCTGCTCGCCCTCTCGCCGCGGCTCGAGGGTCACAGCGAGAGAAGCGGCCCGCGGGGAGGACGAGGACGACGAAGACACGGGGGCGGGTAGCAGCGGGCTGATCCCAGACAGGGAGGAGCGCGAGGAGCGCGAGAGAGA